TAGCTCAGTGGTTCCAGCGCCTGCCTCACAAGCAGAAGGACCTGAGTTTGATCCCCGGTACCAAAAACAAAACAAAAAAATGGTCTAGGTATCTTCAGTTGAAACTTGTCTTAATTGTGCTAATTTGAATGCTAATCTTTTTCCATAGAATGAATTAAGTGCGGCAACACACCTGACTTCAAAACTTTTAAAAGAATATGAAAAACAGGTACTGTATATCACAGTTTTTAAGGGGATGCTTTAACATATGCATTGCTACAGTATTTATACAGTGGACTTTCTCATCAGGAATCCTTAACTTTGGCTGGGTGTGATGGCACATGCTTATAATCCAAGCATTCTGGGAGGTTGAGGCAGAAGGATTGCAGGTTTGGAAGTTTAAGCCCAACCTGGGCAACTTAGTGACCTGTTTCAAAATAAAAAATTTAAAAAGGGGGCCGGGGATTTAGCTCAGTGGTTCCGCTGCCTGCCTCTCAAGTACAAGGACCCAAGTTCAATACCCAGTATCCCCCCCCCAAAAAAAATTTAAAAAGGTCTGGGGATGTAACCCAATGTGAAGGCTCTAGGTTCATTCCCTAGTACTACCAAAAAAAAAAAAAGAATCTTTAACTTTTCTTGAATTCACAGAATATGCCATTGAAATATATATATGTATATTTTTTTGGTACTGAGGATCGAACTTGGGACCTTCGGTTGCAAGGCAGGCTCCGGAACCACTGATCTAAGTCCCCAGCCCTGCCATTGAAATATTATATTGAGATGTTTTAATGATTTTATGTTAGATGCAGAAGTTATCTTGTTTACTTTCTTTTTGTAAATGAAACAGGCTTGCTTAAGGTTACATGGTCAGTTATTAGAGGAGCTGGAGATAAACACAAAATCTTTGAACTCCCAGTATTATGTGCATTGTAATATACCATGTTTTTAATTAATTTTATTGGTACATTTTAGGTATACAGTACAGTTACATTCATCATTAGAAGTATGCACCTTTACATAATCTCTCTTGGTTCTTATTTTTTCCCCATTCCCCTGCCCTCCCTTCAACCTCTCTACCCCTCCCCATTTACAAAGACTTTGTTTCCATTTTTTTCCTTTTCTCATATTAATTCCATTCCCTTCTTTCCTTTCCCCTACCCCTCCCAATTCCCCCTCCCCTTTGCCCCTTTTCTTCCTATTTCACATTATCTGTTATACCTTTTAGTCCTTATTTACACTTTCAGTTTCTCTAACTAGAGAAACTATTCAGTATTTACACATGTGTGTCCTATTTATTTCACTTAAGAGCATGGCCTTAATGTGCATCCATTTAGCTATAAATGTCTCTAATTTCTCATTTTTTATGACAGAGTAGTATTCCATTTTATTAAAAAAAAACACATTTTCTTTATCCAGTCTTCAGTTGATGGGCAATTGGGCTGTTTCCAAGCTTTAGCTATACAAATTGTGCTGCTATGAACATGGGTGCACAT